CCTCCCCCCCCCTCCCCCCTCCCCCCAAAGCTCTGGTAGTGGAAATATCAACCAACATAGTTGGTAGGGGGGGGCGCCTACTACTACTACTACTACTACTACTACCACGACTAGCACTCTTACTACTCCTACTACTCCGACGACTCCTCCTCCTGCTGCTGCTTCTGCTGCTGCTGTTACTGACACTGCTACTGTTACTCCTACTGTTACTACTGCTGCTGCTGCTGCTCCTATTACTATTACTACTAGTGGCTAGCGCGCCTCACGGCGCCTGGGACTTAAGTTGGGGTGAAGTCTGTGCCATTGGTTGTCGCTATTCTGGAAGTAGAGGAAACAGCGATCTTGATCTGTTTGCTACATGTGAGGGGCAGATGTCCAAAGCGAGTCGCAGGGTCTTCTTAGCTCCTTCCACTTCAGACCGGCAAGCATGGTCTTCAGCAGCAAACGGCGACACACTCACTGAAGAATCCCATTTTCAGAGCTGCGTAGCATAAATGCAGGGGTGGGGGGCTTGCAAACAAGCACCACCCACATGCAGCAAATGGTAGTTTACCAAAATTGCGGTACCCAATATGGACCTCAATATCCTATAGTCTTCATCATAGGAACCCCATGAAGGTACAACAAATTTTAGGAAATCCCCAAATCCCCTGGCAAATCCAACGAAAGCACACAGCCGCGCAATTTGTTGCAACGTAAAATGACAGAAGACGACCTGGCGTGAAATAGGGAGAGTCGGGATATTGCCCCAATGATGGGAGTTCCCCTGGGGTTTCCATGTGGGAATAATATGGAAGGGAAAGAAAATGGAAACTACGATTTAGAGTTTAGGATTGCATCCTGGATTATGCCTGATAACAGGAAATCAAATGAAAAGCGAAATAGAATCTACTTTTATAGGGATTGTACAGAGATAGGGGCATGAGGGAGAATCAAATGAAAAATGACATGGAAGCTGGGTTTATATATAAGCGGCATCCTGGATTGCATCTGCACCATACTGCACCACATCAAGGCGAGCGGGCGGGGGAGCAATTGAAAAAGCGTAGAGCTGCCGCAACAATGTACTGTATTCTGGGAGTCGACCAAACAACGCCTGAATGATCACCGCACACTTCCACCATGCGCAGCAGTACTAGAATGTCAGGAACAATGGCACTACTATCCTCCCCCTAGCCTCACCCCAAAAATCGACTCCATACTGTGGCTGTTCGCTCTGCTGCTACAAGTAGTACTGGCCCCCTGCCCATTATGTTGCCTTGAAATGCCAGCACTGGGTGGTCTAAGAGCCCAAGTGGTTGGGGGTCATGCACGCAGTAACGTCACAAATACTGTAATGACCAAGAGCTTTCATCGTCGCACCTCCACTGGACGTCACTGTGCCCAGCTTCGCGCCACCCTCGCGCTCCCTCCCCTACACTTCATTAAACCTTCAACGAAGTCCCCCTTCCCTCCTTGCAGACTGCTGGCAAATTCCCATCACCACCCACATTGCCCCAACAAAATCCTGGGATATTCATTTCGACAGGGCTACGTTCTGTGGGACGCCTGACTACCTCGTAACCTTGGCTGCAATTGGACACTGGGGCTGTTGCGGCCGATTGAGCTTCAGGGCATCGCAATAATGGCCGTCCTAGCTCCTGGGATTAAAACCCTGTCGCTATGCAGAAACAGGGCATAGAACAACACACAAAGACCATAAACCGTCAATATAATGCCTGTCCAATAGTTACAACTGTTGCATGAAATCAGTCGTTCCCCAACATTTTAAGAAACTCCCGACCCCCCGATCCTTAAATCCAAAATCCGTCTCCTTTAAACCTTTAGGCCCCTACTCCAAACTAAAACTCCTGAAGCCGGCATATTAAAACAGGCTCCCGAGATGATTCTGGGAGAAGGCCAGCGGAGCAGGGTTGGGGGCTACACTTTCTGGGTTTCTGGGTGCGGGGCTGGACAAAGCTTCTGGGGAACTGCTTGGGGCGATGTAAGGCAGTTTGGGTCTTAGAGGTTAAAACCCTAACATTACCCTGAATACAGGAGTTTCATGTAGTTTCCATTTTCTTTTCCATTATCCCAATGTAACCCCAAGGTAACCCCATTGTTTTGGGAATGCCTACGGTTTTGGGGTGCCCTGTGGTTGAGATCTGACAGCTGCAGCTTCTTGATGTGGCCACACGCTTTAGTCATCAAATCCCACCCTTGCGAAGGGCTCAGGGCCTCTAAAGGTTCAAGTTACACCTGCCCATGCAGACCTAGAACTCTTCCATGAGCTGCGCTTCCAGATGCCATTAGATGGCCACGTCTGTGCTGTGATCTCCGAGTAGTTAGTGACCCTGCATCTTCTAGGTCCTGAGTTGCGGAAGGTTTTGGGTGATAGGCTATGGAGGCACTTTGGCCATTTTGATGCCTGGCAGAGGAGAGGTAGACCTTCGTTTGATTGCTGACGGGCGTAGCAAATTCAGATTGTCAAGAACTGCCTGGACGACTGCGCGTCAGCAACAGAAGCCTGACTTTGTAGGAGATAAGGGTGCTCGAGAAAGAGGCATCCTAGCCTGGGGCTTCTCAACATATGGGTCTCGTCCGAGCAGGGCGGGCTCAGTAGCGGCCCTTGCAATTTTGGGATGTAGTCCGGGCCGAACAATTCTGGAAATAGTCATGTTGACTCTGAGCTTGACGGCTGGAAGGCCACAACGAGAGCCTGGACATGTGGGAGATGGGTGTGCTGCTGCGGCTGGGCATTGGGATTCCCAGTACAAGAGCACTGCAGTTCCCACCCACCCTGGGGTTGCCAGTTCTCACAGCATATTGTACTCGGACGTTCGCCCATCTTCCACATGCAGCTCACACCGTTTCCCCGAAGTCCAACTGCGGCCGCAGAGCGCCTGACCCCTGTGACTGCCTGCGCTGCCTTGCGACACTCTAGAGAGTGCCAGCAGGTCTCGTCATACCGCAATGCACTTTTACAGTTGTCATGTTGGTCATCATTATGTGCATCAAACCTTCTTTAAGCCTGCGGCTCTCTGCATGATGGCTGAGATCACTGTTGCATTTTCGTTCCGGGCTGTCCTGCAACCGCCCTAGGTATGAGATGGTGGTTGGAAGGTCGCCGTTCGGGGGAACTTCGCAGAATGATACCTGCAAAAACATTCTGAGCCTTTGCTGCACTTCTAGCAAATGGCGGACCGCCGGAAGTGAGCTGCTCCATGACGCCTTTGGCGAGAATATTTTTCTCCTATCATTTTGAAGCCCCAGACCTGCGCACGTGCATTTGATCAACTAAGGAGTATCAAGCTGCAATTCCCACCAGATATCGAACCTTTGGCGGAGGACTGCCCGTTGGTCCTTGCAATAGTGGCGCGTTGTGACCGTGTGGCGCGCAACCGTCTTCAGTAGATGTGGTATGGAATGTCTGATGATGCGGTGTTTCACCACATACCTCCATATAACTACACGTCTATCAAGTTTCGAAAGGTATTTTTTGCTGGGAGTCGAGTCGGCATGTTGGAGGGACTGCAGGTGGTGCTACCCTGTGGACAGGACGCCTACCGCTCATGGACACGAAAGACGACCCATCCCCACGGTTGCCGTTTACTATGTACCCGTATTATGAGAACTGAAAAATTCATTTCCTGACCAGCAACCCAGTCACTGTAGGACTGCATCAAGAGCCTCTGCAAGAAGTCACCAGAGGACCGCGGCTTCTAAACACACACAACCATTCGGGGGTTAAGGGCAACCGAGCGAGCACGGAATCGTACAGCTTTCGGGCGGCTCCGTTTGGAAAGTAGCACATTCAACTGGGAGGATGCACATAGCCGGCTCTGTGATTCCATTTCACTTGTGTTGGGCGTTTAAGCTTGAAAGCCAGCGTGTGGTAGGTTGCTTGGTCAAAAGTAATCGCAAGGGCTTGGTCAATCAGATTGCTGGCTCGAGAGATATAACTAGTCATGCATGCTTCCTGGCGGATCCCTTGAGTATCCTGCGCAATTCAATGCGCGAATATGGACGCCGTACGGTGTGTTGGACGTCAATTGTATTGCTTTGGGCATAAAGGAAATACGAAGGACGGATGCCTGTTTCGTGGCATTTGAAGGGACGCCTGTTTTTGAAATGCCCAGATCCGCTCTTTGCTGCCAGCAAGCTCCCTGACAGAAGCGCCTCACGGCCGCGCAAGCCATGCAGCACGCCTTTGTGCGCAAGTGACTTTGGCGCAAACAGGGTTTCCAAAGAAGATCCTTCACATGATTCCCCTGAACGAGAGACCTTGACCCGGAGGTATACCCGGAAATGTGGAGTCTTGATACCAGGTCCTTGAACGGTCTTATTGGACAGTTGTCCTTACAGCGCACCGACACGTCAGAGGGAGCCTGCAGGTTCTGATTGGCTATGAAACTCTTGTCCTGAATGGTTTCCTCCGATGAACTGGACCAGCAGGTGGCAAGTAGCGAGAGAGAGGGAGAGAGATGTGTCACCAAGTTGACAGCTGGTATCAATGTTTACCCCATAAAAGAACACCAACTGACTGACCCAGCGAAACTTGTACTCATCTCAGCATCGTTGGCCTGCGT